ACCTAAGAGTCATTGATTTCTACGAGTCTGCTCTACGAGTGAAAAAAAATCTGGATTCAATTTTAAAAGACATTCAAAATATTTTCTAGTCTGCCTATAGAATTCTTCACCAACCGACAATTCCCACATCTTGTTTCTTTATTCCCCCCAGCATCTTCCAAGTGTAAAAAAAAAAAAAAACCACAGAGGGCAAGGGTTTTTTTTGAAACTCCCATTACTCACATTGCTATTACATCAGAAATTTCTGCCCTGTTTATATTACCCAGAAGGTGCTCTTTTCTGCAGGAGGACTTTTCATCATACTCCTCACCACCATGCCTTATTGCCCTGTTTGTGAGCCTAGCTTTCATTTCTAACTGCTGAAACCAGGGCTTAAGAATTGACATGCAGCCTATCTTCTTTTATTCACTCCATAGATGTTACATTCATACAGCTTCCAATATTCTAAAATTTTCATATGCATAATTTTTAAATCATCTTCCTTCATTTCTCCTTTCCATAATCCCATTCTACTCAGAACGGCATCTTTTAAGTAGATTAGCATGATATATCCAATCTGCAACCCCTTTAAGAGAGTTTTTTAATTGGAGGTTTGGTGGTGTTTTACTATACTATTTTAATTGCCACAGGGCTTACCCATGCTGGGTAAGGGGCAGTATGCATTTATTGATGTATTTCACCAGCAATCTGCTTCACTACTATCTTTCTCTTACAACCACTAGCAGCTTTTAAGGGTTTTGTTTTTCTTTTCTTTTACAAATTCAAGGAGAAATATAGACAAATATATGGAACACTGAAGAGTACTAACAAATTATTTTATTTAATTATTTATTTTTATTTTACAATATTTCAAGGTTGATAAGGCCACCCAACTCAGTCAGTGTGATTCTGGGTGGCATATAACATAAAATAATATACTGTAGAAATAGAATGACTGTGGCAAAGGCAAACAAGGGTAGTACCAATAGTAATAGGCGCCTTGGGTGCAATCCCAAAACAAATGGAGCACCACTTGAACACCATTGGCATTGACAAATTCACCATCAGTCAATTGCAATACTTGGAACAGTTTCCATCCTGCAACGATATCTGTAACACCATCAAATATCCAAATCTGCCTATTCCAGATCCGGTAAGGATTTGATGGGTGAACAAAAATGCCAAACCTGGACAGGACATCTATCTGACTATGTGATGAATAAGAGTAAGAATAATAAAGATATGAATAGCAATAGCACTTAGACATACATCACTTCATAGTGCTTCACAGCCCTTTCCAAGTGGTTTACAGAGTCAGAATATTGCCCCCACCAATCTGGATCTTCGTTCAACCTCAAGCCAATCAGGATCAAACTGCTGGCAGTTAGCAGAATTATCCTGCAATACTACATTCCAACCACTATGCCGCCATGACTCTTACAAAAGTAAAATGCAAAATGGGAACCAACTCAAAGAAGGGACTCCCATTCCTATTACCTGGAGAAAGAGCCAGGCAGTAAGGTCTACCATAAATCTATATTTTATCAAAGCTTTAAAAATTTTAAAATATTAAATTAATAATGTCTCCTTTTCTAGTTCCATGAGGTCTTTCCTAAAAACAAGAAGAGTTGGGCCCTGTTGTATACTGAAGAAAGAGGAAAGATCATTCCAGAGAGAATGGGCAACATGCTGGTTGGGGAATTCTGGGAGTTGAAGTCTTAAAGTTGCCAAGTTTGAAAAACACTGCTTAGAACTAACGAGAAATTTCCTGACAATGTGAACGGCTTGCCTTCAGAAGTTGTGGGTGCTTCATCATTTGAGGTTTTTTTAAAAAAGACTGAACAGCCGTTTGTCTGAAATAGTATAGGGTCTCCTGCTTGAGCAGTGGGTTAGATTAGAAGACCTCCAAGGTCTCCTCAAACTCTGTTATTCTGTTAGATGGTGGTTACTAGTTACTTATAACATTGTACGACCCCCTTTATAAGCTGTTTTGAACTCTCAAAGGAAAGGCAGAATGTACAGACAATAAAATAAATCAAAGCAAAACAAAATGACCGATCATCTTTGCCATCAATCATATGGAAAAAAGAGGATAAACCAAATATAAGTATCAAAGAAATGAGACCCGGAGCACAGGTTTTTCAGAAAGTCTGGCCTATAGTAACAAATTATAATATAAGTATGCAGAAATCTCCATTCTATAATTATATATCATAATTATATCCACAATTTAATCTTAGTAATTGGTAATTGCAATACCAGGTGATAGCAGGGTCGCCGAGAAGGAACATGAAAAAATCGCAAAATACCAGGACTTAAAAATCAAAATTCAACGACTATGGCACAAACCAGCAGTGGTAATTCCAGTGGTAATTGGCACACTGGGTGCTATTCCAGAAGCACTGGAATTACATTTAAAACAGTTAAAAATTGACAAAATCACCATCAGTCAAATGCAAAAAGCCACACTGCTTGGATCTGCACGCATATTACGAAAATACGTTACGATGACCTAGGCCCCTGGGTGGGACCCAATTAGTAACCAATGCCAAATCCGGCGAAACAACTGGCCGCTGTGATACAATTGTATAATAATAATAGTAGTAATAGGTATCAACCAACCACATCT